AATCCATTGCGTATAGAAATGACTTGCCATCCCTGCAACAAAAAATATTTAATAGTGTGTTCCAAAACCTTACACCTGGCTAACATAAATTTTCAGAGGAGAGGCTTTTTAGCCATCCTCGCAACCGCAGCAAGCAATAAAAGTAACCTGCAGGTGTTTTCAGTTTGTACACTCTGGAGCTTCATGTTTAGTAAGGTTCTAGAGTAAATAGTGTCTCAGGAGATACTGTGTACCCTATGGTCTCAGGAGATACTGTGTACCCCTATGGTATCATGAAAGGGGAAGTCCTAAGTAGTGCTTAATTTGTGTCAGGCCCAGCCCCGGCACCTCTAGGCTTAGCAGTTCATAGCCCCAGCATCTCTGGGCTTGCTGCATCAGTTATGAATGTAAAAAAATTGCTTGATCCCCAGCATTCTTTCATAACAAATTAAGCACTGGTCCTAAGGTATATAAAACTTAAACCAAACATTAGCTTCTGTTCCATCCTTGGTATGGAGAATAGAATATTACTCTGCTACCTACAAAAGAGAAGAATGAAGACTTTGTCGCAACCCCTGTGGAAAAATGCTTTGCAAGGAATTTGTGGGGAAAGCAGAAATGTATTCCCTACATATGCCCATCTTATAGTGAGGTAATTGGAGAAGGAACTTTTAATGTGTGTTCAGTATTTCTAATCTTTGTGGTAATATATTATTTTCATAATTGTGGTAACTAAAAAGATATAAGCTTGTAAACAAACATGACCAAGAACAAATTCTATGCCAAAACACCCAAAAAACTGGCCAAAAATATAAATTTCCCTAGAATAATTTAGAATTTGCAGTCTAAATTTTAAAATGCTCTTGATCTTTCTCCATTTTAATTTTTATTACTGTTTTTCCATGCATTTGATGCTACAGCCAAAATTTGCCATGAGTTACATTGACTTGATGAAGAAGTCTGCATTTGGTACATATCTGTTAATATAGGCCTACTGTTTTCCCTGCCTGTTGTTGTGGTTCTTCACATTTTCTTTTGAGACATAGCTTGAGCTTTTTTGTCTGATCTTGTGACGATAGAATCTTTGACCCTCAGTCAAGGAATTTTTCTAAACTTTCCTTTTTCCTTTCCAGTGGAACATTTGTCATTAACAAATGTGTCTACAGCTATTTGCAGTGTTTCCTGGCTTGATCCACGTGTTCACCCTTTATTCACGCCTCTAACTTCTCCACTGTAACTAAATGCAAGTCTAACTTATTAAAGAATCTTGTATATTATACAAGTATATTTCACTGAGTAAATAGAATTGGTCAGACTGGTACAATATTATAAATCCCTGGTAAATATTAGTTCATAATTCTTGTAACTACTTGTTGCTGAAGCAGTGCTGGTAAATTCAATTGATTGCCAAACCTGTTGTTGTTCTATCGCTTATGTGTATTATCAATAACTGGACTTAAAAAAACATTTTAATATTAAATATGTTTATAATTGTTTTTTTCCCCCTTATTTCAGCTTCAGTATCCAGTCCCATTGTCTCAGGTGGGATGAGGAACATACATGAAAATAAAGTTTCAAGTCAGTTGTCTGGCAATTCAGCTAATCACCATGCTGATAATTCTAGACATGGCTCAAATGAAGACTACCTACAGATGGTGCACAGACTAAGTAGTGATGTATGTTACACACCCCAACAAATTTTCTATATGAAAGGAAATGTTTGACAAATATTTGAATTGTGTGACTGGTCTAAAAACCAAATATTTTGCTGGGTTGTTGTTGACATTTGAAAAGGAGTAATCTATTTCATTAATTTTTCAATTTCTGTTTGTGTAGGTCTTAGTTTTCAAATTTATTTTAAATGACCACTGTTTTGCTTGAAACCACTTTTGCAACATTTATTTTGCATTGAAGAAAAGGGAAAATTGTCTCTACATATTAGCTTATTTTAAGAGGCAATTTTGCCTTGTTTTAGTTGCTCAGATACTGTATTGATGTGGACAGGATAACAGCCTATGTTGGTTTCATGACAGATTTGAAACATCCTATTTTAAAAGTGTCTGTTGTTAGTGATATGATTCTATCAAACCTGATGAAAGTTTCTTTTGACTTTTTATTTTTACTCAATACCTGTGAGCTCAAATGTCTTGCCAGAAAAATAAATTTCCATGCATCTGTGACTTCAGTTCATATAAAGGGAGGTGAAATTCATGCTCTAATAACTGATACACAGTTTAATAGACTTTAAAAAAGATAGTGGTGCTGTGAACTCACCCCAGATTCTTTACTAAATTGGTGATGAATATTCCACTTAATGAGCTCCTCATCCTGCCAACATCTTCTCAGCCTGTGTATGCATCTTGTTGAGGTAATTCTTTACAGGCATGATATATAAGAACCACTAAGAATTCTTTGAGCAATGCTGTTGTAATAATGCCCACTACAGGTTGTGAGAGGGTCTTGAACTTGGGATATTCAGCATCAAGTCAAGCCTCTACCAAAGTAGTCACTACATTAGCTTGCAGCAGTAGTAGACAGTTATCTATATGAACTAGCCAGTAGAGTGGGAGGGAAACATAACACACACTATACAAGCGTGTTACACTTTCTCACAGAAGACTATATCTAGTGTGATAACACCTGGGTCCTTAAAACCCTGAGCACAGTTAACTCAGCAAAACCAAGAGTGAATCAACTGCATCATTTTTGTGTATTAAAATCAAGCACACAATCATTTAGCCATTTCCAGATGATTGTGTGCTCACCTAACAAGCAATGAACAGTTAATGGAAAATCCATAACTACAGTGTGAATTCAGTAGTATTAACTTTGTAATATAAAAGCAGCATCCTGAAAATCCAGGTAGTCTCTGCTTCAGTGATACAACTTCACTAAAGTGGGAAGCTTCTTCTGGCATCAAATATACATGTTTCCCACAGTTAATTCTTATTTTAAAGGTACACTGTCAAAGCAATCATCCATTTGTTAAAAGAAGCTTTTTTTGCAAAACTTAAGAACTGGTAGAAATCTTTCAATGACATTTAAAAATAATTATTCCAAGAGAGGGTTTTCCCCCCCCCCCCCTTTTAAAAAAAGTTGCCACACAGTATATGCAGCACAAAGATTGAAGTGATATCCTAATACATGAGAAGCTGGAACAAATTAAACATAACTGGTCTAGTGTCATTGTTCAATTTGACTGCAGAAGGTAAACAAAAAGTAAAGTACATTCAGTTTTTAAAATCCTTTTTACATTTTAATATTTTAAGATAAGAGTTAAGGAATTAAAAAACAACAACAACTTGACAGCATCACTTCAATTAAAGCAGACACCTAATTGCATCCAGTATAGTGAGTATTGCAGAAAAGTTTTTATTGTAATTTCCTGCTTTCACACACGTACAAGTTTCTGAAACATTCTGCTTTAGAGCTGAAATTTTCTATACTAAAACGTCTCTCTGAATGTGTGTTTTTTTTTTAATTTGAGCAAAATTCAACTGTTTTTGAGTTTTAGAATGCAAATAAATACTACTTCTTCCAATAGTGTCCCTATGGGTGCGCCACTGTAGGTGTGGCAGGTCCTCCTCCTGCGCCTGGGATGGGAGATCTTTGGTAGCAGTTGCCCATTGGGCTGCACATTCACTCCTCCCCATCTTGCGCTGTGAGGGGCCTCTATATATAGTGCTGTGTGGTCCACGGATCCTCAGTTCCTTCTCAACTGCTTTTGGTTTGGGATTGAATCTGCTAGCAGAGTCCCCTTCCTTAGGGTACGTCTATACTTACCTCCGGGTTCGGCGGTAAGCAATCGATCTTCTGGGATCGATTTATCGCGTCTTGTCTAGACGCGATAAATCGATCCCGGAAGTGCTTGCTGTCGACGCCGGTACTCCTGCTCTGCGAGAGGAGTACGCG